TATGTTAAAGGACTAAGATAAGATTATAATTGTGAAAACTAAAAGAAATAATTGTTAAACATAGAGAATACTAACATAAACAATAATTAAATGTATATTGTAATAAACTAACAATAAATGAAATGTAAATGTTGTAACATATATAATAAAAAAATATATTGTGGATTGTACTTTATATTTTGAGAATAATATTTAACAAAGGTAATAAAAAAAAAAAAGATATCATGGATTGCACTTTATATTTTTGTAAACAATAATGTATCTAAATCATAAAATTGTAAAAAAACATATTATGTAAACACAAAATGTAATAATTGATGTATGTAAAATTTAAACTATAGGAAGGTGCTTGAAGTAACAGAAAGTTAAATTGAGTTAATTTTTCTCGTTTGTACGATAAAAATGAACTTTTAAAGCGGGAGTTGTAGTAACCCTAGTTACCACGTAACATTTTAAGTCCCAACAGGTAACGTATTTAGTATAGTATATTGTAGACAAGTAATAATCAGATACGTCAAATGGAAATATAAATAGCTAGTTAACCTTCGATTATGTTTTAATACAAAATAATCAAACCACCCATTGGAGGTATAGTAATCAAAACGAAAGGATAAAAAAATTTACAATTAATCAGTTATCGGCTCAAGGGGAAACGATATTCAAAATAATACCACAACAGATTAACACGACTTTACAATCGTGTAGAATAGGCGTATGTAATATTTTTGCAATAGCGTTATTTTATATTAGATTCATTACATCCAAGAGGGAATACTTTCATAGGTTTCTTCAAATCATCTATTGAACAATTGTTTTCCCATGGAACCTTAAAAATGTTAACAATCATGGTTCTATGATCAACATACAGTTTTTTTAATGTTCAGAAGACAACTTTATTAATGTATCGAATACTTTTTTGAATTCCATTTTGTAAAAAGCTTTTATAATGATTGTGCACTGTGTACAAGCATTCGAGTATATCTTTTTGGACTTCAATCTTCTTCGATGGTGTCGATTAAAATCTCCTTCTGAGTTAATATTAAAATTTTTAGCAAAAATTATTGCACTTTCTATTAAATTATTTACTGCCTTATTATTATCACTCATTCTGGTTAAACTTTCAATAGTATGTGTTAGTAACATTAAAACATCAATTATTTTTAATTCTGTAGCTTCTAGGTTTTCTGTGAAGTTTTTATACATGATATTTTTATAAATGATAAACAAATTACAAAGTCAAAACTGAGCATTTTTTTAAAAAGAAATAATGCAAGAGTACATGTTTTTTATCCATATATTTTAAGTCTGACATATCTTGTAATTCATCAATAATTTGTTCATATTATATCCAAACAGCTTTAATTGATTCAGCCCTTACAGTCCATCAGGTTTTTGATAGATTCACTTGTTCAACAAATGTATTCAATCGATGCGCTTGGCATGGAATAAATGGAATTTTGTGACCAACAATATCCGATAATTTATGCCGAGTACCATTTATCTTAAATGACATGCTATTGGCAAAATGATATGATTGAAATGCAATATTATATTTATATTTAGATTATATAAATATTTTTTGTTACCTATTTGCAGTACTGAAATATTATTTACTATTATGTTTGGTTATAATAAGTATAATAAATTATATTTGAATTTTGAAATAATCATAAATTATAATAAAATAATAATTGCTGATTTGCTGACAGCTATATCAAAATAACAAATTTGCTGACTAAAATGAACCAGTTGTCGTAAGTGGGGGGGGGGTGGTGTGATACCCCTTCACACCCTCCACTGAAACCGGCCCTGCCTGTAAACTTCTGTACAGCAGAGCTACTTTTTAGCAAAACAATTTAGAAAATGTCATATGTCTATGCAGCTAGTATGCTTATATATAGCTCAAAAAGTGTCAAAATATTTTAACATTTGCACATTATGTATATAGTAGTATTTTAATATAAACATTTGATGAAAATCTCAAGGATCTATGGTTAATCGTTTTTGAAAATATAAAAAAAAATTTGCTCGTTTTATATATTTTAATTTGATCATATTTGCAATATCATTCCTGTCAAGTGGTGCCCGAAATAAATCAATATGGATGTTGTATTGCACCAGTTGCGGAGATTTTTCATCCAATATATTTGTCTTCTTCCGACACTTCTTTTTCCTTATACCATTCCTTGTAATATAAGCTGGAGTATATTTTATCGTTGATTATTTCTCATAATGTGTCCAATGTATTCAAGCTTCCGTGTTTTTATTGTAGTTAATAGCTCCTTCTGTTTACCCATCCTAACCTAACCTAACCTAACCTAATCCTATCTAATTCGATCTTTCCATGAAATTTTTAACATACGCCAATACAACTACATTTCAAAGGCTTCAATTGTTTTGCATGTTAACTCTGTTAATGTCCAAGTTTCAACTCTATATAATAATACAGAGAACACATAATACCTTAACAGTAGGACTTTTGTAGCAAAAGAAAAATAATGACACTTGAAAACCTTCGACATTTTTCGAAATGCTTCCATAGCTATTTCAATTCTATTTTTTATTTCTAATGATTGATCCCAATCTTCATTTATTGTTGTTCCGAGGTACCTAAATCGTTGTACCTGTTATATACGTTTATTTTTAATTATTAAATGTCCTCCTAAGTTATGATTTTTTTATATTATCATAAACTTTATTTTCTGTGTATTTAGAATCAAGAAATATCTTTCACCAACTTCTACTACACTGTCTATTAAGTATTGTAACCCCACAATATTATTCGTAAATATTACCTTGTCATCGGCGTATCTAATGTTATTTAAACATTCCCCTTTAACCTTAATGCCCTCTTCAATTCCTTCTAGAGCTTTAGGGAAAATAAATTCCGAATATAAACAGTGGAGATATAACACAACCCTGCCTCACTCCACGCTTAATTAATACCTCCTCTGAGAGTTCACCATCATATGACTGCTATTTGATTCCAATATAGAATGCAAAACGCACTTGGTTTTTAGGCAATGTCAAAAATGTAGCCTGTAGCCATACTTGAGATATCTCCCCGGAAGCATATATTCTACTGAATAACTTAGTGAGCCATGATACACCTTCTGCATCTATTAACTTTAAAAATTCATCATATATATTATCTGGACCTGGAGATTTGTCCTTTTTAATTTGTGACATAGCTCTTTCTACTTTTTCTTTCATTTTAGGTAAGTTGTTCACCTGACCAAAATCAGGTACCCTTTCTGGTCTAATTGTATTGTAGTAAACGAGTTACTAAGCAACATTTAAATTTCGACAGGAAACATATTTAACATAATATACTGTAGATAGGTAATGGTCAGATATATCAAATAGAAACTAGATAACCTTTTTTGGTTGTAATTAATCAAAGAAACCATAGGGAGTATAACGCCAAAAACAAACGCGTAAACAAATTTGCAATTAATAAATGTAAGGCTCAAGGAGAAACGATATTCAAAATAATACCACAGTAGATTAGCATGACTTTGCAATTACGTCGAATAGGCGGATGTGATAAATGCGATAGCGTTATATGAGAGAATTGCAATATAAAAAATAGTATGATTTATAATGAAATTGACAGTCGCAAATTATCTGACAGTACATCATAATAATACGCAGTATGGATTAGGAATTTCGCAAGTGCGTGGGTTAGGTCGATGGCCACATAGGCCACATCCGTTAGAGCCAAGATACGATATCACTAGGCAAGGGGAGCGGGGACCGGACTATAAGAGGGACCCCGAAACGGTCTGTATTCAGACGTGTCTACTCAGGACTACTGCAAGCACCTTCACGCAGCTCTGTATAACGATTGACATTTTTGGACTTAGCATCATTGTGATTGTTGGAACTTAATAAACAACAATATAATTTTGGCATTTGTGTTACTATTATTCAACGACTACCTCATCTTCACAGTAAAAGGTCTAGCTGCCTGCAACTGTTAATATACTAGTAGCTGACAGAGCCACCAGTATATTACAGTATCTTCATAAAGGCGTTCAATGTAATTTCTCCAAATATTCATTTTCTCTTCTTTATCTACAGTGATTTTGTCATTTTCATCATGTAATCTGTTTGACTTATACGTTTTCTTATAAGTGTGAATTATTATCATTATCCGTGTCGTAAGGAATCGTGC